GTTATATCAGTCCAAGACTGCTATAGAAGAAGATTTTATCAAAATAAAGTCAGGATAAAGTCTATTAATAGTTTAATACCACGATTACTAATGATTACTACTCTTGAAAGCTTTTCGAAAGACGCCATCTTGTTTTAAAGCTGTTCTAGCCTGCGAACAGGTCTTCAAAACAAGGTTGACGGACTTAACAACTTAACTTAACTTACTTACTTTACTTTACTTTACTTTACTTTACTTTACGGACTGACGCGATAGCAATATATCTGCGCTACGCGCAGATACAAAAAGCGTTCAAATTAAGACATGCCTTAATTTTAAACGTAACCCCCACCCACCCTCCTAACCTCTAACTCCTAACCCTAATCTAATCTTAGTCTACACGGCAAAAAACACCGAGCCCGCTGCTCAACAGGACTGAACAATGTTTTGCTGCCCACGTTGTTCACACTTGTCAACAATATTGAACAATATTGTAGAGCCTGAATCGGGTGTAACAATATTGTTCAATATTGTTGACAGCTATAAACAATGTGGGCAGCAAAACATTATTCAATCCTGTTTTCATCAGTATTGCATCAACCTGAGCGTTTTTACGCGTGTAACCCTAATCCAATCCAAATCTGGCAACTTTTTTTTAAATTAAGCTATGCCTTAATTTTGGAGAATTTCAAATTTAAGCCATATCCTTAAATAATTTTTAAACGTTTTACAATAAAGACATAGCCTTAATTTTGAGAAGAGATCATGTTGTGCAAACCACATGTCATAATCAATATGAAACTCGATTTTCCGAAGTCTTTTTAGCACTCAATTAACAACATTTTAAGAAACTTTTCGAATAAATTTAATCCCACTTGAAGAAATTTTAACAAATTTACCCTGCTTGTGACGTCATCAAAACTCGGTTAATTAGATCAATTATAATACCAAGATGGCGGACTGCACACTGTTTTTTGGTCAAAATATTTCGAAAACCAAGCAAGGTAAGAAAAGTTGTAACAGGTCTGCATATAAAACTTTAAAAGTTCTTTCAAATAAAATAAAATAAAATAAAATAAAATAAAAAAAATAAAATAAAGTTAATTTTTATTGCCATATCCCTTTAAGGCAGCATTTATAATTCCTCTTTAATTTCTGTAAAAAGGGCACTTTTATTCCACAAAAAGGGCATATTTTCTCCTGCACAAAAAGTGGGAGGTCCTGCCCCCAATACCCCCGGCCTCTTGACAACCGCATATGGGCATCAATGCAATCATTTGCTGTTAGCAAGTCCATGCCTCCTCTTTCCGAATCTGATAAAACCTCAGCTGAACCGCCCTGCGAGTACTACATCCCAGTCGAGTTAGTTGAGCGTCGCTTAGAAGCGGTTAAAACATCTAAAAAGCATCAGGGCCTGATAGCATACCAATCTGCAATCTTGGACAAAACCTTTGAGACCATTCCAGCTAATACTAGGTTACCCACAGGGCAGTAATGCTGCCTTCGACAGCAAAAGACAAACTACAGGGTGTTGAACGAGTCCTTCAGAAACATCCTATTATTGTTATCCTTCCAGGTTAACCCATTTATTGACCCCTACCACTGACTGAGTATTAAAAATCGTCTGGCGTTGGACAGGGTAAATACTAAAGTAGGGGTCATTACTGTGCTGATGGATTAACAAGAGACATTGGCAGATAGGTTTGTTAACCCATTTACTGGCATTACCCTATACCACTGACGAGTAAAATCTTCTGGCGCTGGACAAGGGAAGGGCGCATTGCCAGCTAATGGGTTAAACCGCCGTGGTTAAACATACGATTTGATGCTCCAGGAAATGTAAACAAGCTATCAGTGTAACATCCCAGTTTATATATTTATATACTCGGAATATTGATTTCTCGGTATATACAAAATTATTTTAAAGTATAACAACCAGCGAAGAAGTAAGCCACTAACTGCCCTGCGCGGCTGCGCGCAGACTATATAATGACATATATATGTCATCCGTCCGGTCCGTCCGTCCGTCATTCATCTGTCCATCCGTATCCGCGTTTTATCCTACCCGTTTTTAAAACACAAAGTTTGCATAATTAAGGAGTGCGGTTTGTCATGATCAACATTTTCAAAAGCGGCCAATTAGACCAGGGGTTAAAGGTCAATGACAATGACATGCAAGTGACATTTAACATTGCGTCTCACTAATTAAAGTTTGCGTGTTTAATTAATAATGTTTATCAAAGAAAGCAAAAATATATACAGACAATCTCACATGTGGAATTTGTTCACTTACGTACTGCCTTGTGATGCAGTGCAAGTATAAATACAAATGACAAGGCATTTGTAAATCCTAAAACATAATTAAATCATACGGCACATTCAAGATTTTATTAAATATCGTATTTCAGCCGCGTTTATACTGCTTGGCGCATTCGCTGCGTTATATTCATTTATATACACAGAAAAGCATCAAGCATGTCATTGTCCTTGCAGACCATAGGCAAAAAGCATTTGTCAACCACATACCAAATTTAAGCAATCGTTAAATCATAGACATGTCATGGAAAGAATATGGAAATAATGTTGAATGAAAGCTAGCATCGCGTATAATGTTAAAAGCACCGCATATAGTGCTCGAACCACTGCGTATATTAATTGCAAAAGCAACGCGTATATAAATGGTGAAAGCACCGCGTATAATGCTGGAACCACCGCGTATAGTGGCGAAAGCACCGTGTATAATGCCGAAAGCACCATGGACCGTATAATGCTAAAAGCACCCAACAAAATGCCGTTTGATCACTTTAAGCCAGCTATGGCTTTCCATAAAAGAAGACCAAAGATGGGTCGGCACTAGATCATAGACAAGATACGCACATATCTGAAACTGCAATACATACGAGTCAGCGGTATTCCATATTTAAAATTCAAATAAATTAGTGCGCGAAATTGGAAAAAAACGCGCGAAACCAAAGCAATATGGCTTCCATCGAAGAGTATAGCGATAGTGACCGGGTGCTTGTTTGCGCTTCACAAGCAGAAATGCTTGAGAAATTTGAAGAGTACAAAATAAAAACAAGTAGTGGTTGGAGATGTATCAAATTAAACGCACTTTTTGGTAAGTGAACTAATTTCAATATGTAAATTTGTCTTATAAATATTCATACGAATACCGTGTGTGCAATATATGAAAGATCCAAATTATGCATACATAAAACCTTTATCGATTTACTGCAGTACTACACTCATATAATAATATAGTATGTCTTTATAAAGGTCGAAAGATGCATGTGCTTTAGAATTAATAGTAAAACTCACTGGATAAAAACCTTTCATAAGGGACCACTCATATTAATAATGGGAAGAGGGAGGGAGGGGGCGGTGGATGGTAGATACCAAATACTGAACATTTTTTAGAGCCGCCCCAATCGCAAGACCTTTATTTTCAAGATGCCCCCATCTTCATTTAGAAAATTTAGGACCCCCCTCCAACATTTAATTGTTACTTAGTTGGTGTAAAATAGGTAATGGGACAAGTACTGGTGTTAAGATATTGTGTAGCCTAAATAATAAGAGGACCAGTATTCAAAATGGTTGTTATTTACTCTGACTCCTATCGTGAAACTATGGAAACTACGATTATAGGAACTAAAAAAGGTGGGATATTTTGTGGGATACGATTAAGGCAAGAAATTGAAAATGAGTAGGAAAGTATTAAAAATTTGGGGTCACCCCTTGTCACATATTTTGAGGACACCCCCAATTCAGGCAAAAATAGTTGAAGCTGCCCTGCCCCCTCTTCTCACCCACCGCCCCCCCTCAGTGGCATAACGCTCACTAGGTAGGGTTAGTTCAAAAACTAAGGGCCCCCGACAGTTAGGGCCACCCATCAGCCACGGCCTATCACCCAGAAAATTAGACTGAAAACGTAAAAAATACAGGTAATTACAAATCGATGGAAAAATACAAAATTAATAATGCTAAATAATAAACCCTCCATCGACGACGGTATTCCATCTCAAATAGAACAAAAGTTATTCTTAAAAGTTGTTACATGTGTTGGAGACTGTTATTATCATTGTTATAGACACAGAATTTTCCATATTCTACTGATAAATATTCAATTTAAATTTTAGATCTCAGTCAAACAATAACAGTCAACAGGGCCCCCACACCAAAATGCCTAAGGGCCCTTCTTCCTCCGTTACGCCACTGCCCCGCCCATTATTAATGACCAGTGGTCCCTAATCATTCATTATATACATTTCATACAATTTCATATTAATATATACATGACTGGCTTTTCAAGATACATCAATAAAACCCAATAAACAGAAAGTCAGAAACAAGTGCTAACACTACAAATAAATGGTAGAAATACACAACAATGGAAAAAGGCTTTCATTCAATTATCTGCCAGTATGATATTCACATGCCTACCATATGATGTTAAAATGTATCATCTTAGGCCCTGTTTACATAAGCCATGCAGGCTAGCCTGCCTTGCCTAGAAATTGTTATCATATGAGTCAGGATCTTGGCTAACCAAGACACTGAAGACAAGCCTGGCTAACAAGGCCAGCTTGAGTAATCTAATGTCCATTTTATGTACTATATATGCATAATCACTTCATAGTCTGCTATAGCACAACATATTTCAATAATTATTAACCCAATAATTATTAACCCAACAATTTCTAACAATTATTAATTGACAACAATCATTTTATTAAAATATTGATTATTTTAACAATTATTTTATTAATAACAATTATTTTATTAAAATATCGATTCTCTTCATTTCTGAAATCTAACATTGATCATGTGGCAGTCCCACTTTATGCTTTGTTGCAGGCAAAGAAGCATCCAACTAGCCTTTGACACCCTAGTCTGTTTTTAATGCTGTTAATATTAACTCATTAACTGGCAATGTGAATGTGCCCAAATGTGCCCTACTTAGTATTTACTCTGTCTAATGCCAGACGATTAATTACTCGTCAGTGGTAGAGTACTGCCAGTAAATGGGTTAAAGTGAATGTTAAATATGAATCAAGTTGAAATCGGTTGTAATAACCAACTGATTCATTAACCCATTAAGTTGCAAGACTCCACTTGATGAGTAAAATCATCTAGCGTTAGACAGAGTAAAGATTTATTGTGTTATCTGCCGCTGTTGGAAGATCTTTTCCTTGAACATTTTACTGAAGATTTACTGTGTCATCTGCTGCTGTTGGAAGTTTCTTTTCCTTGAACATTTTACTAAAGATTTGCTGTGTCATCTGCTGCTATTGGAAGATCCTTTTCCTTGAACATTTTACTAAAAATGTACTGTGTTATTGTGCATAATTTCTAGTAAAATATAAGAAAAATTCAAATGTTGTATTTCCAAAAATATGCACTCAGACTTTGTGGACCCAGGGGGAGGGACAGCTTAATCAAGGCATACAAAAGTTAGATGTACGCAGGGACGAAACTTGAGGGGGGGGGGTATGGGGGAGTGTGACACCCCCCAAAGTACGAATCATCTGGATTGGCAGGACGAATCATCTGGATTGGCAGGGCAATCAAAGATTTTAAATGATAGAATGTAGAGTTATTAAGTAACTTACAGGGATTTATAGACCCACATTTTACAGATATTGGTCCAAAAATAAGGGTTTCATGCATGCCCCCCCTCCCCCCCGGCTCGCCAACATTTTTGGGAAAAATAGTGGCCCAAAAAAAATTTGCTGCAGGGCATCATCGGCTTTTGCAGGGAAATTCTAGCAGACACCCCTTAATTAAAATGGGCTAGTTTCGCCCCTGGATGTACGGGGGGGGGGGGCAACATTTTCTGAGAGGGGTCCCCCCAGCTCTGGCTAGGTTACTGTATAGTATTCCCTAAAGCAATAAAATATCAATATTTCTAACTAATAATTATTACTAATTATTAGTAAATATTTATTATTTATGTTGCTCTAATAGTCAATTAGCCAAGCCAGACTACATGATTCAAATCCTAATGGGCCAATTGCACAAGGCAGATTAAAAGAGTGACTAACAGACTAAACAGTGATGCGACCATAGCTGGGTTTCAAACTGAATCATGTGACACTTTAGCACTTGGTGGTCAACTCCAAAAGGAAACACAGTTATTGGATTGAGTTCATTATTCATAATTCATTATATTAATTCACCTTGTATTCAATAATCAATAGCAAATACAGAACATTTAACAAAATTTGCTCGCTTCCACAAGGCATATTTATTTATTTAAATAAAAAATATATATATATAAAAGCATATATAAAAGCGACAAACGTGCAAAGTTGACCACCATGTGTTTTCCTATGAATATGTCACCAATATTATTAAATACTATGCCACATGTGGGCTATATTTTTCCCTTGGAAAATTCCCTTTAAAATGATTTTTAAATTAACCCCAAATAGGTAATAAAAGTAAATATATATTTCGCTTTACACATACCTATTTATCGATATAACAATCTTTAAATCTCCATTTGTAATGATTTGTTTATTTGTAATACATCATTTGTAAATGTAATGATGTCTTTATTGCGTTTATATAAAGTTTACAGCACTTGAAATACCGCTGACTCGTATGTATTTCAGTTTCAGATATGTGCGTATCTTGTCTATGATCTAGTGCCGACCAGGTGGTCTGCACATATTCCCTTGATGGTGGAAAATACATCGAAACAAAAGAAAAATCCAATATTTTCTTCTCGCCAACACGTCTCCACTCCTCAGTAAAAATTAATGCACAGTCAGCATTTTTTAGCTGCAGCAGAGCACGTTTACTTCCGGAAAACACCAGAATTTGTCAGCCTAGTCCCTGGCCTTCCAAGCGCGGGCGAGTTACTTTATCCCGGTCAACCTGCAAACCTTGTTGATTTCCCCCTAAAATAATGAGGCGGAAGCGAGAAGGCCAGGAGGCAGGAACTAGGCTGGGATGAGCGAAGGTTAGCAATATTAACTGTACTTCCAACGGGATTTGATAAAAGTTTACATGTAATATACCGATACTTTGTCTTCGTCTGCTATAATAATAAACCTTTTCCAAAGAAGTACAAGGGAAAACTTCGATGTATGCCTTGCTGATCTTTGCAGAGAGAGTAAAATAAGGCTAGTTCAGGCTGACAATTTATCTAACTGCGTTTGCATCACTTGCGGTTTCAAACGTTGAAGTGAACAACTTAAGGTTAGCCCAGCGAGACGTTCGTTGAGTCGACACAGGCAGTGAATCAGCTAGTATATTAAAGCAGTTGATTGTCAAATGCCTCCGAACATTTCTCCCAAATACTTCCCTGTCAACCCCAAGGCTTTCTGCCTAAACAATCTGGTCTTGAATAAGTCAAGACAATGGGCAAATTATTAAAACAGCCGCCGTCGAGGAAAGTCGTTCTTAGAACACCTGGCCAATTTGAATTTACACCTGGAAATTTTGCAATAGTCGTTTGCGTGTTTTTGACCGAAGTCCGCTCTCTTTTCGAGACTTTATTTTTGGGAGTCTCAACTAGTGACATATATTATTATAACAAGAGCTTTTTACAAAAAAATGTAGTTATTAAACACGGCAGAATCGATGCCACGGCCACGGGTTTTCAAATTGTCTATTGTCTATTGAGTTAATTGTATTATCAGTTGAGCAAATGACAGACTTCACGCAATAATGATTAATGTTGTTTTTTCGCCTGCTATTGTTCGACACTTTTAATAAATAGTGTTTGTTACTTTGTTCAAAACCTAAATACGTTTCCTTAAATCTTACAGTTATATTTTGGATATAAATAGAGAGTAAAATTTTACGTCTCTGTAGTATAGTTACATAATTTAAAACGGCAATGTACGAACAAGACAGCAATATACAAACGGGACTATGTTCTAAATATTAGAACACTTTAGGGAAAAAACGACCATGAATTATTTTAGATTAAAGTTTAGACCTTGGAATCCTAGTGAAAAATACAGGCGTAAAATTGCGCGAGAAACTGTTTGTTGTTGTTAATAACCTCTGGTAATCTAATTAACAAAACTTGCTTTGATTGGCTATTATTTACCGGATATTCAATAATCTCAAAGGGGGCGTATTGAAAAATTATCAATAAAAGTCGCAGGCTCTATATAATAGAGCCTGTGAGCAGCAACGCAGGCAGCCGAGAAGCCCTGGGAACGAGGATGGATTGACACACGAAAGACACAAAACAGCACATGCATTACATGCGTGCACCATAACTGATACAATATTTCACGGCATGGTTTACTTTCCAGACCCCGTTGAAGATCAAGAAATCCATAAAATAAATAATGCTTATATGTAGACGTCCTATTACTTATCCCAAAATTAAAATAAATCCGGAATAAATCACGTAAAATTAAACAAATGTGAGAAAGTAACGAAATACTTCGTCACCGAAAATGAAAATAACGAAGTAAAACGTTACTCTGAAAACGACTTCGTTCCAAGTAAAAGTACTCCACAAAAACTTTACTTTGTTACATGCTAACTTCTCAAAAATAGTACTCAA